TAAAGACATAATGTGCTGAAACTTCCAAAGAATCATGAAGTTGAATTATTATTTTAAAGTCTGAATTACTATTACAAAATGGCTTAAGAAGTCAATAAACTTTTCTTTCTCCCAAAATTGATGGGGAATCTAATAAAGTAATATCCCTTGAAGGCACCAGCTCTCAAAATACTTATGATGTTTCCTTTTGCCCACATATAGATTTGTGTCATCAGAAATAGTGCTGTGGATCATACTGCCTTATTAGAGATTAGTATTTGTGTTTATTCAAAGGGTGATAAATGGAATTTGTTATTTTTCATACTGCAATTTTTACTAAGAGGCAAAGCCCATCTGAAATCACTTTTATGCACATATCCTAGTTAAGGTAAATTACTAATTAAATTACTAATTAAATTACTAATTAATATTCTTTTCTGAGGTGAAACCCTTGGCTGACTGTAAAAGTCAAGCTAAAGAAGGCCTTACCGTCATCATACTGGCCACAGCTGATTGCCAGGAGAGAGGCGATGAGAATCCCACAGGGAAAGCCCGTCCAGAGAGAGAACTGTGGGACCATCTTCTGGGAAATTTCACTCAAGGCCTATCTGAAATAAGGGAAAGCAAAAAGACACATTTGACATGTCCATTTTCAGTTGTAGGTAAACAAAACTCGGGATACAGAGAAGCTTTAGTGGTTTTATAGTTAGTTACCTGTGTCATGCTATCCATTAACAAAGTAACCCCCATGGTTAAAGCACTGGAACTCTTTCCAGACATGAATTTGAAGAAAAGTAATCTCTGTTATTTGATTTGCAAGTAAGGAGGTTGAAAAGTTACCACACTGTCAACATTAGATGCTCATCCACTTTAAAACTCAGACCTTGGAAGTTGAATAGAATTCTAACTGGCCTAAGTTAGGAAACATATGTTATTTATAGCATAATGCAACAATAAAGTCCGTTTCTCAGAGATGGCTAATCAATTGTTTCTTTCGTACATGAGGAGTTCAATGAAAATTTATCATACACAATTAATGTTCATTCCTTTTCCATATAGTGATTAGAGATGACATATCTTTACCAAGAAAACTTTTTAAAAAAAAAAAACAAAAAACATCAATTTTTACCACATCTGTCTTTCCTCTTTCCATGAATTTGGGTAAATTTTACTTCCTACATTTCACTTTTCAACTTCCCATAAGTTTGAAAGAAATAAAGAATAATGGATTGAAAAATCAGTAGCATTAGCACACTAGAAAGTTTAGTTAAAAGAACGATGTGCTCGATTTCCTTATAAATTTAAATAACTATTGACTCAGAATTGCACAAAATACCCTGATTCTAGATTGTGGCAGAGTGGGGATCCAAACTCAACTTCCCTAATTCACAGGTTCCAGACCCAAAGCTACCCCACAAACCAGAATCAAAGTAGAAAAGTGAATCAGGCCACAGGACAATAAGAGCCGGGAGGTGGTGGTTGCCTGTGGGATGGGGCAGGCCTGTCTAAAGAGACCAGCTGGAGCTCAGCCTCCTTCAAAGGCTAGTCACATCAGAATGCCACTGACTGTGACAGGCACACAGATATTCCAGAAGGCAGACATCCAGGGTCTCCTATGATGCTCCTGAGGTTAGATGACCATGCAAAACTCTACGATGTTAACTTCTTCCTACAGGTCAGATGGGGCCTAAGGACCTGGGATGCTCCATGTGCCCCAGATTCTCTGTTAGACTAAGATGCGGAAGAGGCTCCTCAGAGGACACACAGTTTTATATACTTAATTGCACTCATATTATGTACATTTATTTGATAGTATTTTTACCATAGCTTATCTATTGTATATAGTTTGTCAAAAGTTATATTGAAGATGGAAGTTAAAATGTTCTGATTGACAGAATGCACAATTCTTGATTTTCCCAGAGTGCTACACTGGATAAGAGACATTTTATATGAAATTGATTCATTTGCTGCTTTTGTATCTAAGAGATAAAGGAACCTTGCTTTTCCAGGCCATTCTGTACTTTTCACAACTGGGAAAGTATCTTGTCCCTGCTTATGTAATACGTACACACATACTACATAAAGCCCATAAAAATCTTTGCATAAGATGCTAATGTTAGAATATCAATAAGCCCCATAAATTGAACTGGTCCAGACTATAAAACTGTCTAGTCTATCTGTTGGAGGACCTACTTTTCCAGTCTCACTGATCAATTACCTGGTGATAGAACCACTCCCAGCAAGACAGGGTCACCTTAAGTTATGCTAAATAGATGGGCGGAATACATGGTATGTTAATAAGGTAGTGTATATTTCCTGTCTGGAACTAGCTCAGATCCCAGCAGAATTTCCAGACCAGCCACAGCCATGTAGGTCTCCGTAAGTCTGTCCGCTTTCCTGAACTCTTCAGGAAGGTATAATTTCTCCTTTTCTGCTTCATCCCTTTCTTACTAAACATGCTTTCTCTAAGGCTCTGGGCTGCCCCAGCATCTTGTAGTTCTTCACTTTTTCTCTAAAGCTTCCTTCTCCCGGCCATGTGGCTGTGAGTCAGCCCTGTGTCTGACTTCCATGCAGGCTCTGCATGGCTTCGTGGCTTTCTTTCCTTCTTCCCACCATTCACCTCATCAAGGCTGATGCCAAGATCACCAGCTCGCCTGCTCTGAGGGTTTTTCTTTAAGATTCTAATAAAATTGTAAAAGCTTTCATTTGGGTCCATTCTTAAATTCTTTTATGAATGAGACTAAGAACCTCTAGGGGCCCCTCTTTCTCCCTGTTTCACTAAGATAATACAATTCACAATTACTTATATATAAAAAAATGAGGAAAGTTTCTGTGGTAGGTTTTCATATGACTGGTTCAAAAGGCCTTTCTTGTTATTCTTCCTCTCCCTCCCACAGTTGCCCCAACATTCCATTGCCCACCATGTTAAATCCGCCATAATCTCTCCTACCAAGGCCCTGGGATCATTGCAGCAGAAAAGGTGGAGATGGTAGGGGCCAGAGGCAGTAGACCAATATAGGTAAGCTATTGTCTGGCACAATAGGGTAGTTTCACATATGAACCCACAACACTTAGGACAACATGCACAAAACCTGTGCAAACACAAGCTAGACAGGGGCCTAGCATGGATGGGGAGGTGGCAGGAAGCCCTGGTCCTGGCTGAGGACCTATTGGCAATTGCTAGACCTTGGGAGAGGGAGAGTCACTTTTCCTTACTGGTGTGATACCCCGTAGATTGATCAGATTCGAAAGGATGAGCCCAAGAGTATTTAGGTAACAGATTAGACTGCATAGGTGTTTAAAAATATAGGCAAGTGCCAAGGCCTTCGGAGCAAACCTTTAATCCAGCCCTTGGGAGGCAGAGGCAGGTGGATCTCTGTGAGATAAGGCCAGACTGGGTTACATGGGAAGTTTCAGACTAGGTGTCAAAATAAGAATAATAATAAAGAACTACAAAAGAGGACATTAAGTCAGGAGGGTCAGTAAGGTGAGGGTAAAGAAAGCAGACGGGGTCTGAATATGATCAAAGTAGACTGTAGGAAGTCTCTAATCATTAAAAGTATTTACAAAACAAGCCAATTACCAAGGCTAGGCTTTACTCTAGGGCAGTGAGATAGAATCTGGTTTCTACTTTAATCCAGGCTCTTCAACTAGTTACATGACTGAAAAATTTAAACAGGATCTTTGTTACTTACATTAAAATTAAATGGGAATAATACTTTGTACTTTACAATACTGTTCTGAATATTGAACAATTAGGAAAACAAACTCATTCACAGGACAGTACCTCACTCAGTATGATAACCATCAAACAGCTTTGAACCTCCATGGCTCAACATCTGGACACGTCCAGGTGTGAACCATGAGATTGCTGTATGCACTTCAGGAACTCCTCTAGAGTGAATGTCAGTGTTTTCCCCTTTCTGTGAAGGAAGGGCCAGGTTCACAGCAAAAGTCCTTGCTACAAATCCCCACTTACATGTAGATATAGGCCTGAGAATGCCAGAATTTGGGGTCTAGCAGCTGTGGTCATTCTGTCTGAGAAGCACTGGGGTTTTTTCCAGAGAACATGGGTCCCAGGTTTCAAGGGATCCAGGAATGGAAAGGGACCCTCTGTACTATTTCTGAAGTCTGAACTCATTCCAGTGGCGCCCCCTCCCCAGCCCCTCAAAGTTCTGTAGCCCTTCTAGGATGTTGGAATACAATGTCTCTCAAAATTCTTTTCAAACATGACCACAATAAAATGCAAAGAAAGCACATAAAAATGTTAGAGTTAAAAGAGAAGAATTGGGATGGTTGGACTGCAGACTTAAAGTGCCTGCATGGTGTGGGCAAAGGCCCTACCCCAGGACTGAAAAGAGTAAATAAATGAGTAAATAATTCATAATGAATGAATGAGAAAACACCAAATGATCTATATGAAGGGGTGCCGAGAAACATCTTGGCAGGGGTCAGGACAAGGCCGTCTTCTTGAAGCATCCTGATTCTGCTTGGGGCTTCTCTACTCCTTGGTTCATTCTGAATACACTGCTCTCCCAGATCATGGTAGTTTGTTTTATTTCTGACTCAAACCAATTTATTTTCACTTAAAAGTTTTCAAGATGGAAACAACCTTATGGGTTATCACTCTCAAGTCATCCAAGACACTGCACCTGTTGTGATTCCAAAAATAGCTGCACTTACTCTGAGACCTGTATGGGGTTATTAAAGAGGTCCCTACACTTCAGAAAACACCACAATGGAAACAAGCACATCTCACAAGCAGATCGACTGCTATCCACCTGAAAGACAGAGATAACCCTGGGGAGCCCCTTATAACTCTTGTCCTGAGTAGTGGAAGGTGGTATCTCTACACTTTATTATTCTGCCATTTTGTTTATATCTGCTTTAACTGCAACATAACTGTAAGCACCTCAATTGTCTCAGCATCCAGCAACTTTAGAAGTCTAGAGTTGTCCCAGTAAGCCCAATACCCTACAACATGGAGCAAACCTTAGTCTGCACAAGGACACTGAGAATGTCCCTCCTAGGAGATCTGTGCTTTTCCAGTCAAAAACCAGAAGTGTCATGTTTACTCTGTAAACACATTGTGCCAACCAGAAACTAGACTGTGTAGTGACAACTACCAAGATAAAGTGGGAACAAACCAGGTGTTCTAGGTGTGGACTACTTCATCCCTAGCCTCCTGGTCCTTAGAACTGCAGGAAAATAACCCACTGGAGATATGCCAGTATCTTGCTAAATGACTAGAGGTCAGTATTAAACATCACTCCACTGCAGGATTATGTTTTTATCAAACTCTTTCCAGGTCCTCTATAAGTTTTCCCAGCAGATTACGTTAACAAGTAACACTATGCTTGAGAAATCTTGCATTAAGAATGTGGTGACAAATGAATAACTACTTTCTTTGTTCAAATGGCGATTTAATTACCATGCCCAACATTCTGATATAGTTAATACTTAACTGATGTGTATTAGTGATTTGGAAATAACATTAAAATTGTATCAAAATACTAAGGATAGCAGTTTTTATGAATATGTTTATAATCTTACAGGTAAGAGGTGCAAGCTTCATGTTTGCTATCTTTTCCTAACGCTTAAGCTATTT